ATACCTCCTAGCTTTGTCACAATGAGCAAGTTGAAGGACCTCTTTGTGTTTTCAGTTGCCTGCACTATAAAATGGGGATAAATATAGTGCTTATCTTACAGGGACATGAGTAAGTTTAGATGAATTAACGATTAATATATGTTTTCAGAACAAGAATTTAGAATAATTAATATAAACTTTTAAGACAAGCACCTAGCATAGAGTAAGTACTATAATAGATATTACATGTGTAGTATATGTTTATCCACCCACAAAGGCTTCTCCAAACTCCTTCAATATTATAAGGGATCCATCAATGCTAAAATGTTTTTTTCTCCCTCCATGAAATCTTCATTCTTTTCATTCCACTTCCTTTGCTGTTTCTAAAGGCAGTTAAACTAAGGGCGTGAGAGTTGATTGTCCACCAAGTAATTTTTTTTCCACTGTCATGTGATGAAGCCTGACCAACCATCTGCCTAGACTCAGGGCCCTATTCCTGTGCTCCAAGCCTTCTAAAGCTGATGTGCTCCTGATACTGTCCTTCTCAGCTCTGCTCTCAGGGTTCACTCAACGGGAAATCTTCAGGGACTAAGTTGGTCTCATAGTGTGTCTCAAGAAATGCTCTCATAGTTTCCCTTTAAGTCAGTGAGGGCTGAATGATTGAACTGTCTCCCCCAGATAAACAGGTATTCATCTTTTAAATTGCTCAGAATAAAGGACTTCTTTGTGATGGGTAAATTCACAAAAAATTATTGTATGTGTAGTTAAAATATGTGTAAAGGTTCGTTTTATGCTAACAGACATAACTTAAGATATAGATTTGGGACTCAGCAGCATAGAGATGGTAGTTCAATGAACAGGACTGAATAATTTCACCCTAGGTACTATGTGTAAAATTGAAAGAACAAAGTTAAGGACTTGAAACACTAAGGAATATCAGAGTCAAGTTTGTGAATAAGGAACTATTTTTTACTTGTTATAATGGTAATTGTTTAACAACTGACATGCCAAAAAGGTAAAATACAAAAAACAATTAGCACTAATATTAGCATTTCCAGTGTGTAAATCTTTTCATCATGATTGATTTCAAGCTACCAACCTGACATTACTGAAAAGGAGTTGAAAAGAGATGGGTAGTATGAGCCAACTTTCCCTCTTTTCTCATCTCTAAGATTCCATTCTGTGTACTTCATGTGGTGCTATATAATTCAAGTGTCCGAAATGGCTCTCTAAATAATCATTAACTATTGCTGATGATGCTATTCATGTAATATCATTATGTTATACATGGAAACCTGTCTTACCATTTTCTGCTGTCTGTTTACAGAAAATGAGACATATACAATAAGTATGTTGCTAGGTCTCATTGTGGTCCTGGTTTTACTATGAATTTAAGTCTACATTTTTAAGTTACCTTAAATTACCAGATACTTTAACGTTTCCTAATCTCATTTAACTTGCCTATTCCTTGGATAAATTGTGTGTGTGTGTGTGTGTGTGTGTGTGCGCGTGCTTTGTGGGTAGGGTACTTATTGCATTCTCTCCACAATCCCCTCAACTCACATCAAGCAGAGATCACAGGTTAAAAATCACTTCTGTGACATACCGTCTCAGGTGTCAGTGCCATGAAAAGGACTAATAAGTCACTTCAAAATAAGAGAAAGCATGTTTGCTTTAAAAAAACAACATGCTTGAAATTGTAAGACAGCATTAGAATTACATGACTGGTTTTTCTATATGATAGGAGTTTCTGGCACAAAGGAAACGTTTTTTTGTTTTTTTTTTCATTGTTGAAGAAATAGGTGAATGGTAAGGAATGAGTTTGATTGATTAGCGTGCAGTGCTGCAGTGACTTTTCTTCCCATCTTTTCACCCAGCTTTATTGAACTGCAATTGACTTGTAATATTGTATACAAGTTTTGTGTATTATCTCATATGTAGATACTGCCTCCATGCTGATTTGCTATACTTTTATATTGTAGTATGATAACTGCTTTAGCTTTAACTGGCACCTCCATCATGTCACAGAATTCCATTTTTTGTTTTTGTTTTGTGGTGAGAACATTTGAGATTTACTATAGCAACTTTCAAGTATATAACACATGTTATTAACTAGATCCCCAGAATGTATTCATCTTCTTACTGGATGTTTGTACTTCGATCAACATTTCTTCATTCCCCGCCCTCTAACCCTCAGCCCCTGGTAACCACCCTTCTATTCTCTGTTTCTATGAGTTCACCTATTTTAGAGTCTATATTTAAGTTATACCATGAAGTATTTGTCTTTCTCTGTATCTGACTTACTTAGTTCACTCTCATAATGTCTTGAAAGTCTATTCATGTTGTCCCATCTTACACTGAAGAAAATCTTATTGTTCAGTCAGTCCATCTGTAATGGTGACAGCCACAGTGTTACTATAGCAGCATTGCTGTTAGTGCTCCAGGTACATCTATAACTGAGACAATGACAGCCACTCTCCATGGAACTTATGTTGAGAAAGGACCAGTTTCCAGCTAGACTTGCCCAGGGCTGGTAGTTCTAAGAGCAGGATTCGTTTTGCAAACTGCAAGACCCAAGTTATGGGTTTTTATGGCCATCTCATTCAGTTAGATTTGTTCTGAGGTTACACCCTGGGTGTTCAAAGCCCTGCCAAGTGCCTTAAAATTTGGATGTATAGGTGAGGATGTGGAGGATTGTACCTTGGGAGATTGTTTTAAGATGGCTGACTAATTGGCTTATTTGTGGTGTCATTTGTATGTGGACACTGCTGAGTTTAGTAGTTTCATTTTCTTCCTTAAAAAAAGTTAATTTATTGAGGTAACATCTCTACATATAAAGGTTAATATGCAAAGTGTTCTCTTGCGACTTCAACCCTGAAACCAGTTTAATCACTTGCTATGATGTGCACTAACCAGCAGGGGGCGGTACAGAACATGGTGGGTGACTGGTAGTGGTGGCAGTGGCAGTGGCAGTGGTGGCAACAGCAGAGTGCTGAGGGAAGGAGGAAGCAGGGAGGCAGCGTGGCAGAGAACCTGATTGGCCCTGATCGCCAGCCAGGCCTAGGGATCTTACCCATGCCTGAATTTCATGCACTGGGCCTCTAGTTGATTAATAACATTATGTAAATTTCAGGTGTATAATTTTATAATGCAACATAAATGCTTCCCACCCAGTTTAATTTTCTTATTAGTGGCTCTTGAGAATATAGAAATAAAATACATTTTGTGAACTGCTGGTAATTTTTATCTGCTTGCACAAGTCTTGGTTTCACTGCTCTCATTTATTTTATTACTCGATATGATTGATTGTCCAGTTATCAAAGAATGAACTCCCAATATTTTGTTGTGAGTTCGGTAAAATTCATAACATAATAATAATTCGTGGACAGGAGTTATCTATAAATTAAGGTTATAATTTCTTTGCATAAATTAAAAATGTCCATGTATGTATATAAAATTTCAATACAGAAATTAAATTTACAATTTCTGCCTACAGATTTTCTCTATAAAATGTTTATATTTTATTTAATTATTAGTGGATTTTCTATTTGTATTTGTTTTTCATACGTTTTAGAGGAGTTAGTTGGTATTTTTAAATATCTTTAAAATAATATGAGCAAAATCTAATTTGGTATTTTTTAATATCTTTAAAATAGTATGAGCAAAATCTAACTTTGAACTCACATACGTTTTGCTCTAAATTTCTTCATTGTATATTAAAAAAAGTGCTTAGGGATTTAGTATCTGTAGCTCACACATAAGTAATCAACCTTTTAAAAATATTTAATCTCTTTCATGTATCTATTCACTTAGCCTCAACTCATGAAATTTATATTTTTATATGATAAATAATAATTTTCATTGAAGGAAAAAGTGTTAAATCTAATCAGGTTTGAAATGTTCTTTTAGCCACCAGTATGTGGTTGGTGGCAAGAAGAGAGTATGTTTTTCTCATCATATAGCAGAAATTTAGTATTGGACATTAAATAGAATGTGATGAAAGCAGCTATTTTGACAAAACTAAGTTTTTATATCAGGCTTTTATAATTTCAACAGAATTTAAACAATATTTAGATAAAACAGTTACATTATAAAGATGACTAACAGGATCAGCCCACCCACAGTGTGGAGTGGAAAATGTGGCATGCAAGCCACCCAGTGAGGCTGAGGCAGTTTTTTCATCTTGCTTAAAGTATAGTCACTAGACCAGATAATGTAGAAATTTTTTATGTGCCATGATCAAACAGCTGAAAACACTTCATTCTTTTTCTCCCCTCGTGGCTAATTAAAAGTAATTCATAAGTTGAAAAAGCTTAACTATTTTGAACACAGTAAATTTCACTTTAGATAAAGCATCTCCTTCTTTCTAGTGATTCATATAGCTTGAGGTCTTTTAGTTTAGTTTGTGTATAATATAAGAATTAGTTGATTTAAGAAATATTGATTAATGATATGTTAAAATTTGTCATTTTAAGATTTATGTAATTTTTTGTGCCTGCTATACAAAGAGGTAATTTTACCAAGAAATAGGATTGGTTCTGAAATATTTCTTTTGAACAGCTTTTCTATAAAATACTTTTATTGTTTTGCGTATTACCACAAATGTAGATATTGACTCCATGGAACTTAGTGTCCTTGAGTGTGCACATGTATATATGTGTGTGTTTTAACCTATTGTCTGAATTAATGAAATACCCAACTGGCCCATAATTGCTATAAAACTTAGAAGAGTGATTAAAATAATGTAAGTTCACATTGAAGAATTTATGTGGGCCTGATAAATTTGCTTATTTTTAATTGGATACCATTCTTAACATTAAAAAAAAGTCTTAGTAGGCAAAATGGAAATTGTATTTTAGCAAACCATGAAAGATCTCCCTTATAGCTAATGTTTGAAAAAGTCTATGGAGTTTTAGTGTAAAGCTTCAATAACAATCTGACATTTTATTTCATATGTCCAGTTATATTTTTCTAAACAAAATCAATTTTTATCTAAGTTTGATCTTTTTCTTTTAAAATAGGAGCAAGCAATACTGCAGATACATTATTTCAAGAAGTATTAGGTCGAAAGGACAAGGCAGATTCCACTAGAAATGCACTCAATGTCCTCCAGCGATTTAAGTTTCTTTTCAATCTTCCTCTAAATATTGAAAGGAATATTCAAAAGGTAGAGTATGTATTTATATGCCAATGGTTATAGATATCATAAATTTTAAAATGTTGTTAAGATGTTTTTTATCTTAACCATATGTCTTTATACTTTGCTGACAGTCTACAAAATATATATTTTTTTTATTTTAAAGGGTGATTATGATGTGGTTATTAATGACTATGAAAAAGCCAAGTCACTCTTTGGAAAAACAGAGGTGCAAGTTTTCAAGAAATGTAAGGCTTATGTATTGCTTTTAGATCTCTTTCCTTTTACAGAAAGAATGTGGGATGTAATCTGCAAAGAACTTTACATGCTTTTTAGTTTTTGTTGATATGGTGATCCTTTTAAATGTAAAACTATTACCTCAAAAATAACATAAGGCTTTTCTTACTACGATGTAGTGAAAATGAGTAACCACAGGTATAGGTTTGGTTAGACTTAGATATTCTTTGCTACTTATTAACCATGATATTATTAAACATATTTTTCATTGGAAAGAGTCAATTATAGATATTTTATAGAAATGGGAACCTACATTTTAATCTTCCCTCTTCAGAAAGATTGAGGTATTTCTGAATTCTAACCCTACATTTAAAGTAAATGAAACAACTTTTGAAATGATCTCTAATTCTAAGTACAGAAAACAAAACAATAAGAAAAGCCTAGAATTCCCTATGGTAATGCCTTATTAACGAGGAGAAATATCACAGGGCTTTATTATCTTTGTATATCCCAACTCCATAAGGTCTCAGAAAACTTGATTTTATTTTTATTGTAGTTAATTTATCTGTAGTGAAACGCACAGACAAATGTACACACCGCTGTAACCCACACCCCAGATAGAATGTTCTCATCTCTCCAGAATGTTCCCTTGAGCCTCTTCATAATCCACTATTATAACCCTCAAGGCAATCACTGTTCTACTGTCTGTAATGTGATCTTAAGTTTCCATCCTGTAATTCTTATTTATTTGTACCTTTTTAAAAATAGATTATGCTGAAGTAGAAACACGGATTGAAGCTTTAAGAGAATTACTTCTGGACAAATTGCTTGAGACACCATCAACCTTACATGACCAAAAACGTTATATAAGGTAAACTTTTTGCAAGAATTTTCACAAATCACATATATCTGTATAGTGCTGAATATATCATCTAACTCTTAAAGCTAATTTGGGGAAAATTAGGAGATTGATGAAATAATTAAAGTGAAAACACTTAGGAGTACCTATTGCAGAACACCAAAACTGTTTTGTGTATTTGCAAGTACTCACTGTTTAAGGACAAGAGAATCCTTCCTATGTATTTGGGGAAAGGAAAAGTAGCCTCATTGCTTAGTCACCTCTTCCGACTGCTCAAAAAGGGCTTACCTAATCTAGCAGAATGATTGCACTTGGTGGGCACCCACAGGCCGCATGCAGGAAGAGCTCCCTGTATTAGGAAATTCTTCATGCTTCAAGAGTGGGTCATAGTTCAGCAGTAGAGAAAATTCTGAAAGGTTTTAGTCTTGAAAAGAAAGTCTGAAACTTAAAAAAAAAAAAAAGTAGCAGTAATATTGAAAGTGATGGACATCTCAGGGTATGACAAGAAGGCCATAGAAAGAAGCAGTGTACCATAATGGGAACTAGCTATTCACTTTGGGTAACTTAAGTTTTCTTTATCAGTTTATTAATCTTGGAAATAGACATGTTAACACAATCTATGTCTCAAGGTAGTTGCAAAGACAATCATGAATACACCAGGCACATAATAAAAGTCAATAAATTGTGTGTGTGTGTGTGTGTGTGTGTGTGTGTGTGTGTGTGTGTGTGTTATAGTGTTTATATCAGGATTTGGAGGCAAAGCATATAAATGTAAGCTATTATATCCATAATTTAAAACTATAAATTTATTGTCTGTCGTATTTTGATTGTGACCTTTGTTCTCAGAATAAGCTATTTTTCCGACCAAATACCTTTTCCCTTAGTGAAATTTATTGAATATTATGTAGTTATAAAATGATTATAGACTACACATTTTTATGCATTTGGCTGTTGTTAGTATGTGACCATTGAAAATAATTCCCAAGTATGGAAAGATGGTCTGGTCTGAAAGCTGCTGTATTTTTTTTTTTTTTTCATTTGTGGAGGTACAAGGGTCCACATGCAGCCCTCCTTGTTTCTAGTGATGCAGGAGCACAATAGAAGTATGAGCCATTGTCATAGTCAGCATAGTCCCTGCTATCCAACAGGAAAGGGAAAGTTCGGGTCTAGTAATAATTAATGTCGTTTTTAAACATTCGTTTAAAATCTTGCTTGGCGTTGACTTGTAATTGACATAACCTTCAAACACGTGGTATCTACAGAACGTATGAAGTGCAATTAACAAGTTTTGCTTGAAAAAGTTTGCGTTTGGTTTGGTTTTTGTTGCAAAACTAGGGCTAAGAAGATGGCAGATGAAGAGCATATTCGGCACTGCATGCTTTACGAGTTCCAATTAGGAAGAAAAGCAAGTGAGGCTGCAAAAAACATCTGTAGTGCTCTTGGTCAAGATGCAGTTAGCACCAGAAAATGCCAGCATTGGTTTGAGAAATTTCGCGAGGGAAATTTTTCATTAGATGACAAGAGTGGTCGAGGCCGTGTGTCCAATTTTGATCAAGAAGCTCTTCAAGCTCTTTTGGTGCAAAATCCTCAAATTACCCAACAAGAGCTTGCGACAACTTTAAATTGTTCACAAAAAACAATTTCCAATCAATTGCGTGCACTTGGCAAAGTCCAAAAGTTTGGAAAATGGGTTCCTCATGAGTTGACCGACAACAACCATAATCAAAGAGTCACAATTTGCAGTTCGCTCCTCTCTCGTCAAAACCGTTTGCCGTTTTTAGAGCAAATTGTTACCGGAGATGAAAAATGGGTGCTGTATGTTAATTTGAAAAGGCGGCCTCAATGGTTGGGCAAAAATGAGACTCCACAGCCCACGCCAAAACCTGACTTGCACGCGAAAAAAGTGTGTTTGGTGGAATTTTAAAGGAATTCTTCATTATGAACTTTTACCATCTAACCAAACCATTACAAGTGCAGTGTATAGTGCCCAGTTGGAAAGGTTAGCCCAAGCTTTAAGAGAAAAAGAACCCGCGCTGATTAATCGGAAGGGCGTAATTCTTCACCACGATAACGCACGACCGCATACTGCAAGAATCACTGCTGAAAAACTGTGCCAGTTGGAATGGGAAGTTCTCCCTCAACCTGCATATTCTCCTGATATTGCCCCTTCCGATTACCATTTGTTTCGTTCTTTGCAAAACTTTCTTCTTGGAAAAAAATTTAATAATGAAGAATGCCTCAAAAATGAATTTTTTGTATCAAAATCACAAGAATTTTACAACAGAGGGATTAAAATGCTTCCTGAGCGTTGGGCACAAGTAGTAGAAAACAACGGCAACTATATTGTTGATTAAATTTTGTTGTATTGTTTAAATAAATTCGATTTAAAAGTATTAGAAAACGACATTAATTATTACTAGACCTAATAGACGTTTTGGAGTGGAGAATAGTATATGATAATAAGATTGATTGCTGCCACTACCCCTTGTCTGCAGTGTACCCAGGCACCATGCTGGATGTGCTGTTTATCATTTCTAATCCTCCCAGCCACCACATTGGGGCATGTGTATTATACATGGTATACTGGTTAGGAGACTGAGCCTCAGATAGTTTTTTTAATCCTCACCTGAGGATATGTCTGTGTTTTTAAAATTGATTGTAGAGTGAGGAAGAGAGGGAAAGAGTGAGAGTGAGAGGAGGTGAGAGAAACATCCCTTAGTTGCCTCCCATATGCCTCTGACCGACTATGGAACCCACAACCTAGATATGTGCTCCCACCAGGAATCAAACCCAAAGCCTTTTGGTGTGTGGGATAACATTCCAACCAACTGAGCCACCCAGCCAGGACACCTCAGATTGTTGTTGTTGTTGTTCTTTTCAGCCCACACATGTAGTACTAGGACTCCTATATGTCTCCTTTCAGAGCCTAGTTTTGCTTTTCTCTAGGCTACCTTCATAAGAAAGAATGTATTTGAAGATTTTTCTGGCTTGCAGAAATAAACTACGTATTAGTTATCGAGGTGCTTTTTTAAAAAAAATATATTTTATTGATTTTTACAGAGAGGAAGGGAGAGAGATAGAGAGCTAGAAACATCGATGAGAGAGAAACATCAACCAGCTGCCTCTTCACAACCCCTACCAGGGATGTGCCCACAACCAATGTACATGGCCTTGGCCGGAATCGAACCCGGGACCTCTCAGTCCGCCAAACCGGTTTCAGCATCGAGGTGATTTTTTTTAAACACATATAAAGAAACAGAGTTGTAGGAATGTTAATTGTCTTTGTCCAGGATACATTTGATTATTGTTTTGTCTATGTTCTCTAAATATGCTTTGTATTTATTTTATTGTTCACATTTATTCTATTAAATTTGCTGATAGTGATGTGTTAAACTGTATTGAGTATGATTTCTTTATCTAGTGAATTACTATATCTACATAATTAATGGTTCTTATGATTGGTTAACCTACTGGATAGCATTTAAAAGATGGTAGGTATTTAAAAAAGTGATTCTTTTAACTGGTCTGTTTAAATGCTTTCAGTCTGTTACTTTATAGGATAAAGAAAAAGCATATCAATAACAATGTCCAATAGTTCATTTATTTTTTAATCACTATTTTATTTCTGATGCTCTGAGAAGACATTGAACAATTCTGTTTTAAGTTTTAATAATAAAAAGAATCAAGTCAGATATCTGTTGGACTTTGGAATCTATGATGACAGGGACTATGAGTTCCTCATGGGGATAGAGACAGCTTTATCATCAACCAAAAATACATCTCTGTTGGCTTTAATAATTGAAGTTATGCATGATATGCATACAGATTATTATTAAGAAAATACAGATTTTACTGTATTTTCTTTTTTTCTCTATTTTACCTAATTAAAATAGAGATTTTTACTCATTATTTTTACTCTTCTTATTCTGTCTTGATCTTCTTCTTTTTTTTTTTTTTTTTTTTTAGCAAGAAGCAAAGTATGATTCTATCCCTGGTAATTGTTAAAAATTATGTCAGAATGGGGCTAAAATCTTCTTAATTTTTAAAATATTGAGCTTATGTTCATTATTATTAACATATTTTAACTTTTTTCTTTAAAAATGTATTTTACAAAGTGTACTTTATTTAATACACAGCTTTAAAGGAAATGGCAATAAACTGTCATATTCTAAAGAAATAATTTTGAAATGAAAGTAGTACTTATTTTTAAGTTACTTATTACTAAAAGAAAAGAAGAAATGTACGAGAATACATCATTTAACCAAGGAAAAACCTAGCACAGGTTGTACTTTTAAACTAAAACACTGGAATTCCTGAGAGAACATGTTCATCTTTCTTTATAAAACTTTCAATGTAATACCCATTAATAAGACAATAGAAAAAGGATTGTCATTAAATTTTGCAAGGACTTAGTGACCATATTAAAGAGACTTAAAATTTTAAGAGTTAGTCAACAAAAAATGCTTATTAATTTCTCTCTGCTCAAGAAAGATTCTTGTAATGGACCATCTGTGTTCCTATTTAGAAGCTTAAAAATTAAAGGGCTGCAGTAAAAAAAAAAAAAAAGGAATTCTTACCATTTGCAACAGCATGGATGGAACTGGAGAGCATTATGCTAAGCGAAATAAGCCACTCAGCGAAAGATAAATATCACATGATCTCACTCATTTGTGGAATATAATGAACAACATAAACTGATGAACAAAAACAGATCCAGAGACAGAGAAGCATTGGTTAGACTGTCAAACCTCAGAGGGAAAGTAGGGCAGGGTGGGGGTAAGGAGGAAGAGATCAACCAAAGGACTTATATGCATGCATTTAAGCCTAACCAATGGACACAGACACCAGGGGGTGAGGGTATGAGTGGGTGTGAGGAGGGCAATGAGGGAATAAGAATACTTATGTAATATCTTAATCAATAAAGAAAAAACATTTTTAAAAATTAAAGGAAAGCAGCTATTTTCTAAAAGGATATTCCTATAATAGTATTTTATAGCTAATACAAATCTGAGGTTGTTATTTGAGTGAAAGTGTCAGGAGAAAGTGTTGCATAAGTATTTGGAGGGGAAATAAACCTACCTAAGGAGAAGGCTAAGACAAAGTATCCCTAGCAAGAAAGAATAAAATCATGTGTTTTTTTTTTCAGAAATGACACAACTATGTATCAAATGTATATTCTAATCAAAAAAGAGGAAAACCTTATGAAAAAAGAATCTGATTGGGTTTTGAAATCTTTGAAATGAATTATTTATGCCAAGCTAAATGTAATTTGTTAAATTGTGGTTTTTCTTCTAGTAAGGCTATTAACTGATTTGTTGCTTTCTCCTACAGACACACCTTCTTTGTAGACTGTAAATAGAGTCAGGGAGAAGGAGAATGGCCAACTCTCAGGGCTGTCTCTGGGGCAGCCCACTGTAATGTGAGCCATGCTGGTTAAGGGGTTCTTTTGCAGGACAAAGAAATGCCCAGCTCTCCTCAGAAAGCAGGCTGTCTTTATTAGCCTGGGAGGTCAGGGTGAGGGCAAAGAGTTTCTAAATGTGATGTCAGATTTCTTCTCAACATTTTATTCATTGCTAACTTACTACAAAATGTTTTCCCTCTAATTAGCTACTAATTGAGATGTCTGTGAGTAAGGAAATGCCATCCTGGAAATGGGAGAGAGGCATCAGATGATTCTCTTGAGTTATTAAGATTTGGCTAGAGGTCACAGCTTGTAACCATTAATTAAAATTTGTCATCGAACAAAAATCTTTAACCTCAAGACAACAGACAGCTTATAGACTTAAGAGTAATTTTAAGACAATAAATTCAACTTATGGAATTGATTTAATTTGATTTAACTTGTTAATATTTATTTATTTTGTGCAGATCGCCAAATCTTAAATGATATTTAGCAGACTTTTTTCAGCTGAAATGTATTTCAGTTGTCCATCTGAATTTGAATATTTTAGGTACAAAGTCTTTAAATATTTTAAGAACTACATTAAATCTATCAAAAATTCCCATCTATACTACTAGAGAAATATTTTTTGAGTCATGGATTGAGATTTAGATTTTAGAGGTAAGTGCTTGTTGTCACCAAATCTATTCATATAATAAAATGGCTTTAAGTTTCAGTTGACCCTTGTTTAGGGTGTCTAGAAAACAGTGTCATTGTGCCATCTAGTGGCTATGTTTCAGGCCAGAATGGAATAAAAACCAACTGAAATCAGAAAAAAATTATATATATATTTCCTGGGTTTCCTCTGCTGGCTTCCACCTGTGCTTATAGAATGACAAAACTAAATAACAGCACTCTGGGAAGTCAGTGTAAATACATTTAAAGGTAATTTCTCCCTGAGTATATTAGATCATCGTAAATGGTCTTTGTCATCTTTGTTGTCTTTTTATAAAGTCCTACTCTTATAAAATACAGCTTTATTGTTTGTTAACTTCATGAAAAGAAATTGGATGTATTTCATATTAGAGACTAATTTTAGAGAACTAAATATTAGAGACTAATACTGATAACTGCTTTACTAATTGATAAAATTTTAGCTTTTCTTAAAAAATATGATTTTGAAATATGCTAGCTTTCCTTTTGTCCTTATTTATGGCTTGTGTAGAGGGAGACTACTTGGTCATCCTTGGCCTTGCTTTTTCAGGTACCTGTCTGACCTTCATGCACCGGGTGACCCTGCTTGGCAGTGTATCGGAGCTCAACACAGATGGATCCTTCAGCTCATGCACAGCTGCAAAGAGGGCTACATACAAGACCTGAAAGGCAAGGCCACTCTCTTCCAATTCATATGCCACTTCATACTCTCACTTTAATACATAATGATTAAAGGAAAAGAATGATTAGTTATTTTTCTTGATATGTATATCTGTGGTTTTTGTTTGTTTGTTTATTTGTTACTTTGTATACCTGAGTAACAGGACAGAAAATTCTTTAAATTTATGCCTATTGTTATGGTCAACTGGCAGTTTTGACTAAGATTTAGTTTAGGGGATGATATGATGTTGCTTCTCACAAAAGTTTATATGAAATGATATTAGTTCTTGATGAAAGCTATTAGTCCACTTGTTATTTTTTCCAAATATATGTTAAATCCTGCTATGTAGCAGCCTCTATCCTAAGTACAGATAGTATAAAATAGACATAGTCCCTGGAATAAAACATGTAATTAACCCACAAATGTTTGCCAAATGATATAAAGAAAAATAATGGTATTATGAGGGAAGAGAACTGAGGAGAATGCTTCAGATGACTGGTTTGGGAGGATGTCTTAGAGGAGGGTCCATGTTAGCTAAGAGCTGGAAGGATTTGAAGTAGTCTGCTGGGCCCACTCCAGGCTGAAAAAAGGACTAACCTTTGTAGAGACTCCAAAGTAAGTTTGAAGGAAGATGTCACAGCTCCATTCATAAGCATTGAATGTCCTGAATGCTGTATACCTGCCACTGTTAGATGCTAAGGATACAGCAGTCTGTACAACAGACAAGAGCATGGCTCACATGAGACTTCCAAAATAGCAAGGGAAAGGGACATGCAAAGGGACTAGTAGAAGACAGTGTGCTACTTCCTCAGCCTGGGAAGTTCCAAGTGCTGTAATAGCACTTAGGAACTGCATTTGATCCAGAATTTTGAGATCACAAAAGGGACATTCTAAGATTTAAAGAAAATGCCACATGTTTTGAGCTCTCTGGGGTGTCTGTATTGGCTGATTAAAATAGAGGTGGGGAAGAATAAACAGATAAAAACCATTTCAGGAAGAGAAGGCTGCTGAATCCTATGTGGCTAAAGCTTAGAGCATGATTAGAGTGTCTCAAGTTATGAGGCACTGGGTCCTGGATGGAATTTTGTTAGCTGCTTCAGGGAATTTGGGCTTGATCCAGAAGGTGTTGTAGGAGCCACTAAAGGTTCTAAACAAGGGAAAGACCCACTGAGGTTTATTTTTTAAAGACAACTGTCTTCCATACAGTGAATGGATGTAAGCCTGGAGCAATTAAGCTGCTTAGAAGGCTGCTGTGGCAATTCAGACATTTTGCCTGGTATGGAGGTGTGGATATGGAGAAGGGATGGATTCCAGAGCTGTGCAGAAACGGGAATATGACCTTGGCAGCTGGTTAGGATAAACTAAACCATTTAGTTTAGGGATCCTAGAAGAGAAAAATGATTTTTTCCCATGTGTTGGGGCATGAAGTGAAGATTTTCCCTTTTGTTTGGATGTGAAGTGAAGCTATTCAATAGATATTTAAAGAGTGATGTATTTGAAGATGTCTTCATAAAGGTGGTTCCTAGGAGTTGATGCTTTAATCCACAAAGATAACAAAAGGAGCAAACTTAAGATAGAATCCTGGGGAGGGATATTTACAGGACAACCTGCAAAGGAGAAGAAGAAGGGGTATTCAGGGGCTAGGAGGGGAATGAGAGCATAATACTGCAAAAGCAAAGAGGAAAGGAGTGATCAGCAAGAATTTTAAAAGAATAATAAGATTAAGAGGTGTCCTTTAGATTTAGCACTGGTATTGTTGACCTTGGCAAATGCAGTGGCAATGGACTGAGATGACAAATAGATTATATAAAAGAAGGCATAGTGATACTTCATAAGGTTTTCAGGAGTAAGTGAAGTAACATGAGAACAGTCCTGGCACAGAAGCAAGTACAATGAAGAGCTCACATTATTTCTTTACTAGAGGCCTGCTGCACGAAATTTGTGCGGGGGCCGGGGGGAGGTGCCCCCCAGCCCAGCCTGCACCCTCTCCAATCCGGGATTCATTGGGGGATGTCCAATTGCAGATTTAGGCCCGATCCCTGTGGGACCACAGTCTGGGACCACTGGCTCCTAACCACTTGCCTGACTGCTTGCCTGATTACCCCAACCGCTTCTACTTGTCAGCCTGATCGTCCCCTTACCACTCCCCTGCCAACCTGTTTGATGTCTAACTGCTCCCCTGCCAGGGTGATTGCCTCCAACTGCCCTCCCCTGCAGGCCTGATTGCCCACAACTGCGCTCCCCTGCCTCAACCCACCTCCTCCGCTGGGACCATCTGCCTCTGCACCTCACAGAGTCATGAGACCTCCAGGCCTCACCAAATGGAGCAATCGCCGGGCCCCGTTTTTGCTGGGTATATGGCCACCTTGTGGTGGACACCTTGTGACAATGTTGCCCACGAGGGCCACCTAGACTTTTATTAGTATAAATAGCACAGTTTTTACATGAATTGGAGTACTTTCCATCTGATTCTGTTCTTTTCTATTCTTCATTTTTAGGAAAACCCAAATATCTCTGTTTTGATGCCACAATGAAATTCCCGTTAATGTCATTAATTATTTTGTCGTTTTGGCAAGTAGAAATGACAGCAAATGATATATATATATATATATATATATATATATATATATATATTCTATAGTCTTTGGATGTATTTAGAGAACCTTACATATTTGTTTATTGAATCTATTCTGTTAGCCAAGACTCTATACCAGGGATGGGAAATGTCCATAAAATTATTTGGTCTAGCTCTACATTAGGGTTGAATTAATTGTTTTATCAAGTATAGCAGGCTAATTTTTAAGTTGATAATTTTTATGACCCTCGAGTGATGATGTTATAAATATCTAAATGGCTGTTGGCAGAAAAAAAGGTATCCCATCCTTGCCTTGTCTGCCCCTCAATCCTCTTGCTGTTTTTACAAACTATCAATTTTTGTCCTCTACCCCATTTCTACCAGTTATATTAGAACCTCTAGTAGTGGAGTTCAGGCATCAGTCTTTTTTAAAGCTTCAAAATGATCCAGGTACAGCTAGGCTTGATAATTAGAACACCAGGGACTGGAAATACAGTAGTGAGCAAAACTGACATGACCTCTGACCTGTTGGTCCTTGTAGTCTCCCTAGTGGGAGAGACATATCTTTTTAAAAATCATGTATTTATTACATAGATATAATTTTGAAAAGTGTTATGATGTGGGGAGTACAGAATTCTACTCCAATCTAGTAAGGGGGAGATTGAAGGAAGTTTTCTCAAGGAGGTGATATTTCCATTGAATCCAAATGATAAATAGAAATTATCCAGATAAAGAGGCATGAAGAAGTAAATTTCAATAAATGGCATCTCATTCCCAACTATACTAAATACAATGATGATATTCTTCAGATTATAAGCAAGTTACATGATTTAATAAAGAATTTTCTTGCTTATGACTGTAAAAAACCATCTGTATAATTTGGTTATGAAAATATTTGAATTTCTGGGATGTGTGTATATTATGAGGGCATAGAGACTATTTCAGATCGGAAATTATATGTATTTTATTTTCATATCTGAAATATCTGATAACCAATGTTACACTGCCAAAGTTCTGAATTTTTCTTGAAGATAAATGGAAAGCTACTTGTACCTGATGATTCTTTCCATCATCTTAATGTTATGTTTTACTACATATATTCATCCAGAACTGCTTAAATTAGTATTTCCAGAAAAAAAAAATGACAGAGCCCTACTTTTAATTTTCATTCTGACCAAGCTTGTTATAAAATTTGCTCATCACTTGTAAAATAATTAAAATAATATAAATTAAATTGTATCCATTTGTTAGTGTCAATCAAGCTTTACCTAAAGTTATTTTTATATGTTGGTCTTTTGATGAGAAAGTAAAAAATAACAATCTGCCTGTAAAACTTACTTTACAAGTTTCACGATAAGATAATGTAAACCTTCTAAATTTATTAGTCAGATGTTGACATTCAGAAGAACATGTTTACTTGTGCCCTCTTTTGCTGTCAGCAAACATTACCAATATAAACAACGTGGGTAACCCTACACATAGGAGTTTTATTAATTGGAAGATTGGTGTACTCTTTTGAGCTTATATCAGAAGGGTTTTTTATTATTTGATTTTGGAGAATTTCAAACATACTTAAAAGCAGAAAGGATAATATAATAATCTCCCATGTTTCAACGATGATTAATTCATAGCCAGTCTTATCTACGATATATCTTCATTTGTTTTTACCCCTTCCATCATTCTGAATTGTTTTTGAAGCAATTGTTATTTCATCCATAATTTTTTCAGTAAGTAATTTTGAAAAACTTTAACCAAAACACTATTATCATTATCTAAAATATTATTAACAAAAACAGATCCAGAGACAGAGAAGCATCAATCAGACTGTCAAACCTCAGAGGGAAGGTAGGGAAGGGTGTGAGTAAGGGGGAGAGATCAACCAAGGACTTGTATGCATGCAAATCCTAATCAATGGACACAGACACCAGGTGGGTGAGAGCATGAGTGGGAGTTTAGGGGGCCAAGAGGGGAATAAGAACACATATGTAATACCTTAATCACAAAGAAAAAAAATCAATGAGTTCTTTATATTATCAAATATTCAGTTAATTTTTAAATTCAGGAGCAGTTTAGTATCTTTAGGATTTAAGTACATTAATACCATGGTTTTTTAACTAATGGTGCAAAGGCAAATGACAAAATCTGGCATAGATATAGATAGAACATGTGTTTCCTAGAATGGAAAAATTAGCCATCTGTAAAACATGATCCACTTTGGCCACTTTGCATTTAGATCCTTTTCTGATTGTCTTCATTAATACATATGTGCCATTGGTTACATGTTAGCTACTTAATAAGCACTTATCTACATTTATACATTCTATATAATTACACTGTGTAGTATAGATATATGTGTGTGTGTGTGTGTGTGTGTAGAGATATATGCAAATATAAAATATTTGCCTTAATGTTAAGTTTGATGGGAATAAGCAG